CTTTCTGCATTGTGTTCAAATATTTATTTTTCTATTTTAGCAGGAAGTAGTACTTTCATGCTTAAATTCAAGGTCTTGTTAGACGATGAGCGTGAGTAGATCCAGGCAGACCCTGAGTGCTCTCATCCCTTCAGCTCAGACTCTGGTTCTAAAATATATTTCTGTAAACCGGATCCTGGATAATAAATGGAGATGGGGACAGTTTGTGTACATTATTATAAACACAATTGAAAACAATTGAGGCACTGGTTAAAATTTAAATGAAAAGTGAATTTTAATCACAAATGAACTTAGTAAACACTTAAATGCTAAAAGAAACTGCATTTTATGAGTAAAAAAAGATGCTTTGCATAAACTGACAGGAGCAATGCATCACAGAAGAGTTGTGACAGGGTCACATGTGATCGCGTCTCTCTGGGCCACAGCTCATTCTAATGGACTGAGGCAAAAAGAAAAACTGTTCTTTGGTCAGACAAACCAAAATTTGAAATGATTTTTGAAAATGCTGAAAGTCACATCTTCTGTAATAAAAAGAAGAGGGACTGTACAGCCCACAGTTCAAAAGCCAGCCTCTCTGATGGTATGGGGGTGCATTAGTGCCTATGGCATGGGCAGCATATACTGCACATCTGGAAAAGCAGCATCAATGCAGAACAGTCTGGTCAGGTTTAAGAACATCTGCTTTCATTCAGGTCCAACAAAGACTGCTGAGGACATGTGAGGTACAAGAAGATACACACTCACATAGTACATACATACTGTATATACAGTATATATATATATATATATATATATATATGTGCACTAAATGTAGAGTATATAGTACAGTATAGTACAACACTATACAGAGTGAAGTTTAGCAATAATGAATAAATGGGCTAACAGTAATTTACCACCACTTTCCAGCAGAAACACTTCTCGACAAATAGACTCCCATTAATTCTCATTTACTCCCAACCCATCAGCAGTGGCTCTGCTGAATTAATAAAATACCTGATGTAACAAGCTTATGTAAGATGTTGGGCTGTAATTCAATCATATTATGGATACAGAAATTATAGCCTTAGATAAATAATAAGTTATAATAATAATAAAATAAGTTTTTTTTTATGACGATGATTTACTCTGGTATCAGATGCTGTGCAGCTGGAAGTTTTTTTATTAAAACCTTTTTACTTTTGGAGATTTGTTATGATGCGTAACCATGGCAACAAGGTGTTTTTTTTAACAACAAGGAGCAGCTGCTTAACATCTCAAAAGCTCAAATATCTCATCTACAGCCCCAAATCCCACATGAGTTGAAAAGGAGGTGCCGTGGACAAATTCCCATCAACCTGGCAGCGGTGCTCGAGTACCTGACCACCGAGATCCTGGAGCTGGTGAGAAACTCGGCTCGTGAGGAGCTCTACAGACTGCTAGGAGGAGTGACCATCACTCAGGGAGGAATTCTGTCCGGCATTCGGGCAATCCTGCTGCCCAGGAGGACCGAGAGGCCCGCCGGATCTGACAGCAAGCTGGATCTGGGTGGACGGATCGGTATCTGTGGCCAGATTCTTCGGCTTCACTGCAGGAGATCCTTCCTGCCCACAGCTATCAGCATCTATAACAACTCTTGAATGAAACCAGGATGATGAGTCAGAGTCAGAGTTTCTTTATTGTCATTCGCACCTCATGTGGTACATGTGGTGGAGCGAAATTATGTACACAGGGTCCCAGTTACATCCAACAATAAAATGTATAAGGAAAACAGTAATAACATCTAAGATATGAACTAAGAAAAACATCAACTAAATATACACTAAGCACTCATAACATAAAACATTGAACATCAGCACAAACATGAACATGAGTCTGTGAGCAGATGTGCACGCATGAACACATCAACATTGAAACAGATCAGCAGCAACATGAAACAGATCAGCAGCAACATGATATGATTTTTCACAGTGATTATTCTAGTTAGATATTCATGAGTCTAACAGCCTCAGGGTAGAAGCTGTTCCTCAGTCTAGTGGTTCTACACTTAATGCTCCTTAACCTCCTTCCTGAGGGGAGTGGGGCAAAAAGTGTGTGTGCTGGGTGGGTGGGGTCCTTCATGATGCAGGTGGCCCTCTTCCTGCATCTGGAGGTGTAGATGTCTGTGATGGTGGGGAGACTGATTCCAACAGTCTTCTGTGCAGCCTTCACCACTCTCTGCAAAGCTTTTCTTTCTGCAGCTGTGCAGCCTCCATGCCACACATTGATGCTCGAGCACAGGATGCTCTCCACTGCACACCTGCAGAAGGAGGTGAGGACTGAGCTTCCCAGACCAGCTCGCCTCAGCCGTCTGAGGAAGTAGAGTCTCTGATGAGCTTTCTTGATCAGGCTGGTGGTGTTGTTGCTCCAGCTGAGCTACAACACTTAATTTCCCTCAGGGATTAATAAATTATTTTTGAATTTGAATGAATTATTCAAATGTTCTACCACATCACTGGCTCCAACTGTAAAGTGTTAAAGAGGCAAGTCTTTCATAAAGTTTATAATATACACATGAAAGTTTTAGCTTTTGATTCCGCCTTAATACAGAGTATATGAGCTGTTTTTAAAATAACTTTTCATCTTTTAAAATGTTCGTTGATTACCTGCTTTCATCTGTGTGACTCCATCCAGCTGTTTTCTTTACCTGTTGAATTCTGACTATGGTACCAGTCTGCTGGCCAGTGAGCATTAGGTGGAAGGTGGGGGACACGCTGGACAGGTCAGCAGTCCATCACAGGACAACACGGAGACAATCAACCATTCAAACTCACAAACAGAACCAGCTAACCTGTGGGAGGAAACCAGAGTACCCGAGGACCTTCTCGGTCAGAGGCATCAATGCTCCCTGACTGCTCCCCCAGTTAAATGTCAGGTTTTTGAAAACCAATAGTTACATCTTAGCAAAATTTGTAGAATTGCGTCAAAAATCTATTATTAGTCTGCCGTGGCAAACCTAAATGCAAAGAGTAAAAGTAAAACTATATATTTGCCGTGTGTTTTAGTGATGTTCTCTACAGTGAACGTGATGTCTGGGAGACGCTCCTGTTGCTGCATGAAAGTTATTAATGCACAAATAGACCTCAAAGATAAAAGCATCTTTGAATTTCTGCGGAAATGTGTCAAGAGGGATTTCAATGGTCACAGCTTCAAGTCCAAATCAAGTTTATTGTCATTACCATCACATGTGGTACATGAGGTGGAACAAAACTGTGTACTCAAGGTCCCAGTTAGACCCAAGAATAGCCAAAATATAAGTATAAAAAGAAACAGTATATAAAGATCTAAGATATACGCTAAACACCAATAATGTAAAACAATACGGTGGAACAGCAGCCTGAACACAAGTCTGTGGTGAGCAGATGGGTTTGAATGAATACAGCAGCATGAATAATCAGCAGCACAAATAAGTCACATATTACCAATTAAAGTGGCATTACAGCTATTTTTATTTACTTTTTTCCTTACAGTGATTATTCTGATTAGAGCTTCATGAGTCTAACAGCCTCAGGGTAGAAGCTGTTCCTCAGTCTAGTGGTTCTACACTTAATGCTCCTCAACCTCCTTCCTGAGGGGAGTGGGGTAAAAAGTGTGTGTGCTGGGTGAGTGGGGTCCTTCATGATGCAGGTGGCTCTCTACCTTAATCTGGAGGTGTAGATGTCTGTGATGGTGGGGAGACTGACTCCAACATCTTCTGTGCAGCCTTCACCACTCTCTGCAAAGCTTTTCTTTCTGCAGCTGTGCAGCCTCCATGCCACACGTTGATGCTGGAGCACAGGATGCTCTCCACTGCACACCTGTAGAAGGAGGTGAGGACTGAGCATCCCAGATCAGATCGCCTCAGCCGCCTGAGGAAGTAGAGTCTCTGAGTCTGGTTCTGCTAAAGGTTTCTTCCTCACGAGGGAGGTTTTCCTTTCCACTGTCGCTTTCATGCTCAAGATGAGAGTTCTGCGATGGAGTTAAACTCCAAGCAGTCTGCTCCTCAGATAGAGTGAAATTATTATTTTTTATATGAATGTTTCTATACAGTGCTCTGAGACGACTTCTGTTGTGACTTGGCGGCCGCTATATAAATAAACTGAACTTTAACAGCGAACAGTTAAAAGTGTTAAAAGTGAATCAGTTGTGTTTACTCCTTTCAGTAAAAACTTGCCCAGTTGGTTATGAGATATTTCACTAATAGAGATGACTCGTTCACAAAAAGTTAATTTTTAAATAAAGACTTTGTACATTTTTTTAGTGCTCACTGCTCAGATTGTGTTGTGAATGACTCTGAGCTACTACCACCCCGGGCCTTCAGTCAGTATTAGAGAAATGACTTGACTTATAGACATTTTTGTGTTTTGTAAGGTCAGTGGCCTGTGGCGGCCATCTTAAATGGTTTCTTGTAGTTTGTTGTAGACGTATGTTCATGGGTTACTTTCTGCAAGTTTCAGTAAAACGTGCACAATGAGATATTTTGGTAAGACAAGCTCTCATTCACAAACATGGACAAAAACAATAGTTTGCTTTTGCTCTTTGGCTGTAATTCAGTTATAACAAAGTGCAAACTATATGAAAAATGGAACTTTGGAATGAAGCTACTAACAACATAAAAGTTGTTATGAAATATCCTGTTTATAACCAGTAGGTGTCGCTGTAGATCAGAAGAGCAGTTACTGACTGAGAAAACTATCACAGGACGAAATAATATTCAGTGTTAAGTGTAGGCTGTGTGTAGCAAAAAAAAAAGATCCCTCTCTAAAATAATTAAAGATTTAATGAAAATGAGTGATTCTGTGCTTTTAGAACGTGCCCCAATTTTCAAAGAAGTACAAACCACATTACCCAGAATCCCCTGGATGGAGGTCAGAGGTTATGTGGACATGTATGCCGCCACATCAGCTAGCTAGCCTCGTCTTAGAGCAGAGTAGGAGCTTGCTCTCGTGCAACATTTGTTCTCTTTTAACTTGCACGCGACCTGAAGCTCTTCCCGCTCCGGGTGGATGAAAGGCAGCGGCTCTGCGCCTGCGCAGAACCAACACACGGCAGAAAGTAAACAACGTGCGCTGCTCGACTGCTGCGGAGGCCTCGGCAACGTCGACTACTCAAAGGTAAACTTACACCGAGGAGCACCTGAGCCTTTCAGAGGACACCTCACTGTGAATTAGTCAACTCTGCGCTTTCTTCTGTTTCACCGTCCGAGCGACAGAGTCCCGGTGAGCTCCTACTGCCGGAAGACAACCGGACCCGGTGTTCGTTTTTCAAAATAAAAGCATGACTGAGACGTTTAAAATTAAACAGTTAAACAACAGACCAGACAATTAAACATGTTTCTTTCTGCATTTGTTTATTATTATTTTTTGGTGGGCATAAATTATTATTGATTTAGATCTCTTGATGAAAGTACCACATTATGCTGTTTCTTAGTTTTTAGGGTAGCTTCCCTCCCTATAAAAAAAGAGATTTGGTCAATATCAAAACAAACCAACCATTCCGACACGGAAAAAACAAACAATCTCTCTCAATTACTTCACTTAGTATTTCATGTTTATTCACTGTAGTACTTCACAGTGCATGGTCACAATGCACCTTCAATTTTCTTATTTTATTGAAAAATATACCCTTGAACAATGTCCTAGAAACAATTCAAACTAGTTTTAACTGGCCATGAGGTAGTGCTGCTCTGAAATATAAATGAAGTTTAGACAATTGTTGTTAAACCTACAAAAAAATCTGTAAAATTGGTTTCTCATGTTAATATTGACGGATCGCTGTTCACTCAAAATTAACGGTGTGCCCCTAATAAGGAACAGTTTTACTACAGAAACTTCAACGATGCAAACTATTACCATGATTCTTTCACATATGTATTACTGTCTGACACAAACAGGACAAACTAGGCTACAGAAACAAGACCGAACATATTAAACAAAAAGCGTAACCTGTATCATTTTGTAGAAGTTTAACAAATTATAGTTGCTATCCTGGCTAAACTTCATTCAAAGTACATGTTGTAATAAAAGTGCCAGGCACTTGATTAATTGAGTTACTGTCATAAAATTTAAATATATATTTTTTTATGTCTGTTTTATTTTTGGGATCATATATAAGTTTCATATAGTCTGGTGTGTAGTACTGATGTAGTACCGGTACACACAGAGCTACAGACAAACTACACACTCTGGTTTATCGTGTTTTACTTTGTAAAGACCTCAGGCTCATAATAAAGAAATTCTAATTAGCCTCCAAGTAGTTGGTTAACTTTGTTGTTTTTGTCCGACAGTAGAACTACCGTAGTTTTGACACTGTTTGTCTTCTGGCACCAACATTGAATTAAAACACATAATTCACAAAGCGTTGGCCTAAAGACACATGTTGCTCATGATCTCTTATTTTTAAAAGGTATAAAGTAGAAAAGCACCCAGGATCCCCAAGTGTGTAATCCAGAAGACTTCCCATCACATCAGTCAGTTAAATTCATTTTTTATCTTCACGTTATCGATCCCTGGTCCGTTTCGTTACACGTCTCATTCAGAACAAAAATCAGATAAACTTTTAATGGTGCGTTTTATCTCTGCAGTGATTTAACATCTTCTGGAAACAAAAGGCGGCTCAGAACGATTTACACAACGATTAGAAGCACTAAAAACAAAATAAAGTCATAAAGAATGAATGTATAAACTTTTAACGTTAAAATTAGATGCTGTAGATGAACAGATGCTGGGATATATTCATCATTTAACGCGGGTTCCTCATTTTTCTGGACTGAATAAAACGTGCATTGAATTTAAGGAAATGCAAA